CGAGCGCTGGACTGGACAGTTTACTCTGGTGCTTCTCGTTATCCTTCGTGTCGTTAATGAGGAGAAGAGTGGGTAGAGCTAAATGTATATGTTTTTATGCTGAAGTTCGGCAGCGTGGTGCGGTGCATCGCTCACCTTCTGTATCAGATTCCATCGAGATAACCGATAGCGCTGATAGCCTCCCGTTTGCGGCCGGCCCAGCCACGCCGAGTTCCGACAGGAATCTGACTTTACAAGGGGCACTCGAAATCACGTGGGGTCGGCCAACGTCTGAATCCGTGACTCAAGTCACCCATCGTGTGTTTTGTTTCTATAGACGCACTCGTCCTGGCATAGCTGCGCTGCTTCCGTCACGACGCTTGTCAAGTCAAGCCCGCGAGGTGCCCAGCCCAAATTCTACGAACCGCGCGAGCGGACACTCGACGCAAACCTACCATAACTGAGTTATGCGTCGCCATGTCAGCCTGTAGAGGGCGGCCAGGGCGGCGCCTGTGCTTATTTACGCCACGGTCAAGGACGCCGCTCGAGGGACGGCATTGTTGTGGCGGCGGCACTTGTCCACTTGTCTTGCACGCGGACGCGCAGAGGAGACGAGGGGTTGCATTGTCGCCGGGGCTGCGGCGCGACGAAGTAATCTAATGCGTCCTTTTGGGGGGTCTTTCTTGGGATTCGACAACCGTACGGGCGAGGACGGATGGCCGTGAAATCTAAGGAGCGTACAAACAAAAGTGCGGCGGCCATAAATACATACCTCTTTAGAAAGATAGGACGATGGAAGCGCTGTGACGTCTGCCAGGGCGTTGAGTCCTTTAGTTCTAGGCTCTTGTGTGTTTGTGGGTGTTAGCGGTCACAGAGGTTCCCCCCCACCACAAACGGAAAATCAACGAAACAATCCTTTAGATTTTAAAAATGCCATGCCAAGAAAGTTTAACGCGTCAACTTCCATGAACTGCTGCACGCAATCCGATGGATTAAAGCACCGCAAGTGCCCTGTTTTTTAGATGACAGGCAGGGAAAGGAGTGACTGCGATTACTTTGCCGCCAAATGTAAGCGATGATAAGCATTCACAAAGGTGGCGCGCCCGCGTGTTCCGCGAAATCGCACCGGTTGGCGGTTGGCCTATGAATGAAGTAAGGAGAACCGAGAGATCTTTGTCGCAGAATTTCGCATCACAAAATACATGTTTGACGGGCGTGGCTGCGGCCTGGGTTGGGAGACCAACCAACCATGCCGCGTGACCTGCACGACCCACCCCACACGTGAATTTGTGGTCTAGACGTGATCACGTTAATCTTGATCTAAAATCTAAAGATATCCCATGGCTTTGCTAAAACAGTTAATGAAATGTTTTCTGTTTTAAGCGTTTTGGGGGCTTTAGTGGCAATGTTTTGTTTCAGCAGCAACATTTTACTGGCTTTTAGTAACAGCGAAACAATTCATCAGGAATAGCAAGAATGGAAATAATTCATCTGAAATAACAAAAATGTCGCTGCTGGAGCAAAGATCTTGATATTAGACTATACGTTTTGCAGAAACGGCAAACAAAAAGTCAGACTTACTACTTAGCAAACATTCTTCTTAAACAAACCCCATAGGGCCGTTCATACCAGACTGACCAGACTACACACATGTCACCGCGACCACCTGTTGCATTCCCACTCTACCACCCCATCAATCTGCACTATATCGGAGGCTCCGCTCCTTTCCCTTCGTTAAGGGTACACAAAACAGACAAATCGACAGACAGACAGACATACAACTTCTATATTAATTATATAGATTCCAAGCTATCCGATCATAATCAGAAATTAACGTTCCATTCCATGAACACAAATGTATGCAACTTCATTGGTTCCATGGGTTCATCCTTTAACAAAGATTGTTAACGGTCTCTGGTATTGTTATAGGAACACGGATTTTATATGAGCATTTGCTGCAACTGGAGATGCTTTTCGGTTCCAATACCAGGCCCGAGTGAAGGCCGGTGCAGTGTATTACGTCAGCACGAAGGATAGATAAATATTATCTGGTGCACTAATGTCCAGAAGCTTGACCCTGTCGGCTTGGATTAGCAAGAAATTAGGAAAGTGGGGCACTCAGGCAATCGAGCCGGCCCAGCGTGCGGCACGGCCGCCAGGGCCGGGGGCGGCGCGGGGGCAGAGCGGAGACAAACGATGCTCGCCAGAAGCGGCTCGGGCCAGAGCCCTACTCCGACTCCCACGAGCTGGACGTTTTCGGACGCTTTGTAGGCATCGATGCGTCCAAGTGCACGGTTTTGGCAAATGTCTGTATATTTTGTTCTCGTTTGTTATACTAGTGCCATTATCAATGCCATGCACAACATGTTTAGCGGATCAAATCACTACTGAAAAAATGTTAATGACTGTCGTGCTCTTTCAAGAAACCCAAACCCTTCGCAAATCGAAAAGCGCCTGCAAAGCATCGCTTTGCAGGAATGCTTAGCAGGAATTTAATAGTAATGCTTTAAGTTTTGGTTGAGGTGCCGTCTCTGTTAAGATGCTTGCGCAAGCCTGAACCGGACTTACACAAAAGGCCATTTCAGGTCAGGAGACTTTAGGAGGAATAGGCAACCTAAACAGGGCGAGGGGCTGGGGAAGAAGAAGAATGGGGGACCGTTAAAGGCAGTTCTTCCCCGGTTTGTTATTCTGTTTTTCTTCTCATCATCTATTCTGAAATGGTCTATTTGGCCAGCACTAGCACAGCAACTACGGGCTGCCACCGATTCACTGGTAAATTATTTAAAGTCACACTCATGCTCCTGGTGGTCGATTAAATAAAAGAAAAATGAGTGCTTTGCTCAGACTTAAGAAATTTAAAAAATAATAGCTGTTTCCGACAGATGAGGTGAGAGGTGGTCGGGGGCGTGAGACTCCGCAGTAATGCGATGCTGCCCAGTCATCTTCGGTGATCTCGGCCCCTATTGATTCGCGGCGACGTTCGCGGTGACTGATGTAAAGATATTGCCGCTGCCCCACGTAAAGCGGTTAGAGTCCCCTAGAGTCCCCGACCCGGTCGAGGGCGAGTACGCCGATGCAACCGCGGATGGGGACGGAGGAACCAGGGACCACAGGGGGCGAGCCGCCGCCGCCGCTCAGCCCAGCTCACCCAGCCCAGCTCACCCAGCCCAGCTCACCCAGCCCAGCCCGGCTTTATCCGCCCGCCTAGCCCCGGACAGGTGTGGGTGAAGGTTAATGGGAGGCAACTCTCTCGCAGGGGATTAGAGATTATCGCACGTGGGGTGGAGGGAGGAGGGTGGACGTCGTCGTGGTCCAAAGCAAAACATGTTTTACTTTCCCGCTCTATTTCATAGTGGGTGTTTACTT